ACGTGATCTCCGCCGCCGACCCCACCGTGTTCAGCACGGGCATGACCGGCATCATCAGCGAGAACTACTCCATTCGCGGCTTCAGCTCCAGCATCGGCGATGTCACGTTTGGCGGGCTGTTCGGCGTGGCGCCGTTCTACCGCGCATCGCCAGAAATGTTCGAGCGCGTGGACGTGCTCAAGGGCCCCTCGGCCCTGCTCAACGGCATGCCGCCCGGTGGCTCGGTGGGCGGCACGGTCAACCTCGTGCCCAAGCGCGCGGGCGACGAGCCGCTGGCGCGGCTGACCACCTCCTTCATGTCGGATGCGCAGCTGGGCGCCCACATCGACCTGGGCCGGCGGTTCGGCGAGCGCAAGCAGTTCGGCATCCGCTTCAACGGCGTGCTGCGTGACGGCGACGGCGCCGTGAACCACCAGGAAAAAGAGACCCGGCTGGCCTCGCTGGGCCTGGACTGGCGCGGCGACCGTGCCCGCCTGTCGGCCGACCTGTACAGCAGCGAGGACCGCACCGACGGCCTGAACCGCGGCATCAACCTGGCCGCAGGCCTGCCCGTGCCCAGGCCGCCCAAGGCCGACACCCTGCTCAACCCCAGCTGGGCCTTCTACGACACCAAGGACAAGGGCGCCATGGTGCGCGGCGAACTCGACCTGGGCGACCGCGTCACGGCCTATGCCGCCGTGGGCACCAGCAAGACCCGGTACCGTTCCACGGGGGCCTACCTGATCCAGGTCTTCAACACGGCCGGCGACTACCGCACCAACCCGGCAGACCTGGGCTTCGAGATGGACAAGAAGTCGGCCGAGGCCGGCCTCAAGGGCAAGTTCAACACGGCCGGCGTGGGCCACCAGTGGGCGCTCAACGCCACCTACTACACGCATACCGACAAGCAGTTCGGCCGCCGCAACGTGCTGGCCCAGGACTGGATCACCAACATCTACCACCCCATCTGGGGCCCGGCCACCAGCTTCAACGCGCCCCCTATCTCGCGCACCGAACTGCGGCTGACCAGCATCGGCGTGGCCGACACCCTGTCTTTTGCGCAGGACCGCGTGCAGCTCACCCTGGGCCTGCGCCGCCAGCAGGTGCTCAGCGACACCTTCAACGTGGCCACGGGCGCGCGCACCGCGCGCTATGACGAAGGCGCCACCACGCCGGCCGCCGCGCTGCTGGTGAAGGCCAGCGAGCGTGTCTCGGTCTACGCCAACTACATCGAAGGCCTGAGCCAGGGCGCCACCGCACCCATGACGGCGGCCAACGCGGGCGAAGTGTTCGCGCCCTACAAGTCCCGGCAAAAGGAGCTGGGCCTGAAGCTGGACCTGGGCGACTTCGCCCACACCTTCAGCCTCTATGAGATCCAGCGGCCCAACGGCTACACCGATCCCGTCTCCAACGTCTTCTCCTTCGGCGGCGAGCAGCGCAACCGGGGCGTGGAATGGGGCTTCTTCGGCAACGTGGCCACGGGCGTGCGCCTGATGGGCGGCATTGCCTACGTACAGCCCAAGCTCACCCGCACGGCAGGCGGCGTGAACCAGGGCAAGCTGGCGGCGGGCGTGCCCAGGCTGCAGGGCAAGCTGGGCGTGGAGTGGGACCTGCCGCCGTGCAGG